CTCCATGGCATCCTGGATCGAGTAAAGAGGTCAAGTAGAATGATGCCTCTTCTGTAGCTGCCTGGATCGAGTGAATGGATCGAGTAGAGTGCTTTTAAGCTCCTTTTGCACCTGAAAACAAGAGTCTCTTTGCTCACGGTGGCTTTCTCAGCTGAAATTATTCGTTCTATGTCAAATCCCTGCGTTGAAAGACAAGTTAAAGCATTGGTGATGAGGAGTAATGCTTCACTAGTAGTTCTTGTCATGAAGTTACAGTAGCTCGCTGCATCAAGTTCATTCTGGTATGGCTTGTTTATTCCTTTGTATAATAGGTTGGTGAGTTGGCCATCTTGGAAGTCATGTTGGGGACATTCACGCTGATAAGACCTGAAACGGAGCCAAGATGCTCTAAGGGACTCGGCTGGAGCCTGAGTGAACGAAGAGATTTGCAAACGAATTGCCTCTGTCACGGCTACATAGAAGAAGTGATTCATGAATGCATTCTTTGTATCAGTCCAATTGGTTAATGAACCTGGTTCGAGTTGACGCAACCATGATGTTCCTCTACTCTCGAGAGAGTGGGGGAAGAGTTTGCAAAGAAGATAATCAGCGGGTACACCTTCTGATTTAATAGAGGAAACGATGTCTTTGAAGACTTCCAAATGATCTAATGGTGATTAATCGGGAGATCCTCTAAACTTTCCTCTAGATACAAGATCATTATAGGCAGGGTGTATAGCAAAGTCTTCTCTTTCAAATGGAGGAAGCTTGAATGTTGATCAATTTGTGTAGAAGAGATCAGTTCTTATAAAAATCGCCTAATGTAGCCGTCTGGTTCTGTAGAGGGTGTCGATCGACACCCTGATGGTGTCGGTCGACACAACCGTGAAAGTCTGCCATGGGAACTTGATTCTCAATCTGAAGGTACCTGAAACACAAGAGACCAAAAGACAAAGAAACACGTGAATAGGTGGTAGAAAAGTAGTATCTAGACTTAAAATGACACATAGTCTAATGGTAAGCTAAAAGAGGGCCACGGCAACGGCGCCAAATTTGATATAGCTCAAATTGCCTTAAGCTTACTCCCTCAAATAAGAGATAGTCGTTAGCACTTACGGGTCGAATTTCACGAGCTCTCGTTGTTCACACAATAGACTTATGATGTTATTTAATAAGCTAGATGAAGTAATTGAATGTAAATGACAAATAAACAAGTAAACGAGTTGTAGATTCAAGTGATTAAAGCATTAAGGTCTAAGGAATTGTCTCGAGAGATAGATAAATTGTAGATCTAGCTAATATTTGGATTGTTATAGCACCGTTATCGAACTCAAACTATGATTCTAGAGTAACCGGTGGCGTTCCGCGAAAGTTTCTATACTTAGAGCTAAGATAACCAGAGAAGCTGAGAAATCTTGTGCTAAAGCATGCATTGTTATTAAGCTTGATTAGTTCACCTAGTATCTAAACCAGAGCCCTTCTATGAGCCTACATGTTCTTTCTTAAATTCCTAGGCTCATCTATGATAGTTCTAATAACAACTACCCATGGCGGGCATACCTATTATCTAATATCAAGTTCTAGGTGATCAATCTAAAACTAGCAATAAGAATAATCAAGATGAAGAACTCTAAGAATAATCCTAATGGGTTTTCGATCTACTAATCCATCTAAATCCCTATTGAGACTCCCTAAACCCAACAAGGTGATTACTTAGACATGATAATAGAAACACAAATCATAATCTGAATAGTTTGCATTGATGAATTAAGAATAGATGTAAAGGAGTTCAGAATCCTCTCTAAAGGGATTGGATTCTTCTCTCAAAATGTGTAACAATCTTTAAAACAAAACTTAGGTCTCCCAATGACCAAACAATTAGGTATATTTGTCACTTAAAACGTGCAGGGACTACTTTTGCAAATAAAAAAGACTTCAGGGATTCTCAAAGACTTGGTAGTAAACGAGAATTCCCTTGGCAGCAATAAGAGTGTCCATTGACACAGGTGTGGTGTCAGTAAAAACCATGACATATCACATATTTTCCTTGAGCTTCATCCAACGTCCGACTGGCATAATATATGACGTGAAGATTCTTGTCTATTCTCTGGCCTAGCACAGCTCCTACGGCGTAATCTGATGCATCATACATAATCTCAAACGGATAGTCCGAATTAGGAGCTCGAACAACAGGAGCAGATACCAAAGCCTCCTTGATGGCGTGAAATGATTTGAGGCAGTCCTTATCGAATTCGAACTCCGTCTCCTTGCACAATAGTCTGGTTAACGGCCTGGCTATCTTGGAGAAGTCCTTAATAAATCTCCTGTAATCATATTGATTATTGATGTAGCTAACTTCTTCTAACTGGTTTCCCACCCCATCTTGGACTTGATACTGCTCGTCAGCAACAAGGAAGTGCACATGCTTCTGCTGGCTAAGAAGAATCATGTCCAGCTTGTCATTCCGCGCTTTGATTTTTTTCTTGTGTTTGTCATCCGAGTCATCTATTCCTCTTATGATCCTGTCGCAGTCCTCGTTGTAATTTCCATTTGACTGAGCTAGGTTCTCAACCAATTCCCAAACTTCTTTAACATCTTTGTTCTGGAAATTCCCATTGATGGCGGTATCCAGAAGCATTTTGATCCGTGGTAAAACTCCTCTATATAGTGTGTTGAGGAGAGAGGCTTTCTTGAAGCCATGATGAGGGCATTGGTTGGTGTAACCTTTGAAACGCTCCCATGCTTCACATAAACTTTCACCAGCCTTCTGTGAAAAACCAGAGATCTCATTTCTGAGTCTTGTAGTTCTGGCGTTGGAGAAGAACTTTGCTAGAAAAGCCTTCTTGCAATCAACCCATATGGTGATTGAGTCAGGGGTAGATTCTTTTCCTAGATGTGTGCTTTGTCGCCCAAGGAGAATGGAAACAACCTCCATTGACAGACCATGGAATTTGCTCCCCTGAATAATCGAGATGAGACCACTCTTAATTTTGTAGAGTCATTCTGTTGATTTTGTTCATCAGAAATTTTGAGTGGTTATTGGTGTTGTACAAGGTCGACTGTGTTTCTCTTTTCTCTGAGTTCGCGAGCTATGCGGTCGATGTTATTGTTGGAAAAGAGGTTCTGGTTGCCTGTTGATCGAGTTCGCATACAGCAAAGGTGTACCTGGATCAAGAAAACAAAAAAAAAAAACACAGTTAAGCCAAACAATAACAGGTTTTGGGGTTTGTAGCAGTCCTAAGTGAACATGCCGGAAACATAAATTCAAGCAGAAAAAGTTAAAACACTCGACTAACACAGCTCGTTGCCAAGCACTGGGTGTGGTCGAGTGACAGGTCGAGTAACAGACAAAAAATGTAAAATGGATACTCGACTGCACAGTCTATTGCTAGACATCAGGGTGGTCGAGTATCATGCAAAAAATGCAAAAATTAAACAACATGCAGCAAGATGCAGTAAACAATAGCAGAGTAAACAAAGAAATCAATTAGATGAGAAATTCCGGAGGATGAGGTAATTGAATAGTTGATTTACAGGTGATTGACATGCTCAATAAATTATCCTTAGGCAACAAGTTCGATAACTAAATCTAAGTGCCACCGCAATAGAGACCCTCAAGTTAAACCAGTCCTAAACTCAATCACCATTGACAAGAGCTAACCTAACAGGCATTACGAATCAACAAGTTAAAGTCAAAACGCTCTATGTAACCAATACCTTGATACAGAGCCACGAATCTCTAGAATTAGTGGTTCAGACATTTCATCGAACACCTTTTGGGTGCAGAAATGTCTAGGCTCAAATTCCAGTTGATCAGAAAAAGCAATAGTCATTAAGAACAACTAATCTAGAAGGGATCTATAAATCAAACTCAATCACCTAGCATACTGTGAATTCTAAATTACTCTAACCTATCCTTAGAAACCTATGCACTACTAAGACATCATTGCAAAAATCATAAACGATGATAAGAATGAAAACATGATAGCAACAGAGTAATAGCAAGATGATAACAAAAAACAACTTAGTAAACGAAATGAAAAGCAAATACTGAATAGATTAAGAGAAATCCGGATTACAAAATGTCAAGAACACAAAGTGTCTGTCGAATTAAATCTTTTCTCGAAAATGTAAAGTGCATGCTACTTATAGAGAAATATTCTGAATCCCTAATACTCAAAACGACACAGTAATGGGACGGATTTAAGAACAACACTCGACCCAGGTGGTCGAGTGATTGGTCGAGTGGTAAGCTGGAGTCTTCTTCTCTTCCTTATGCTCGAGTGTCTGGTTTAGTGTGGAATGGAGAAGACTCTGAAGCTAGCTGTCGAGTATGATGTCGAGTGGTGGATGATGGTGGTACTCGACCATGTAATCGAGTGGAGGTGATCGAGTGAACGTCGAGTGGTAGAGTTTGTGATACTCGACCAGGGGGTCGAGTGGTGGTGAGAAGTGGTGATGCCTTCTACTCGACCAGGGGGTCGAGTGGTGAACAAGAGTGTTGCGGTCGAGTGACTAGCTGCAGAGGTCCTGACAAAGTGCTTCAGAAAGTCCATCTTCCAATTAGCTCGCCAACGACTCCAAATCACCTTAAAACAACGCAAATATGGAACATGGATGCACAACTATCTTAACCATGCAATGTGATGACAAATGATGAGAAATGGTATAAAACAGTGGTGATATGATGCTAAAGTGAATACAAATGGATGCTCAAAACATGTAAAATGCACACTTATCACTACTCTTAACGAGATTTGTACATGAAAAATATTCGAAAACAATGTTCTAACAAGTAATTTTAGGTCCGTAATATAGCATAGATAATGGAAAGGTCCGAAAAAATACTTAAAGGTAAAAATTTGGAGTCGACAAAAAATCAATGGAAGAATTCCATTGTCCTGCTTCTTTCGTCGGAGGGCTCTCTTTGGGCTTTCCGAAAAGGTATCAAATGCCAAGTTTGGCCTCACGGTATAAAAGTTACAGAGTCATACAGTTTTACCCAAAAAAAAAAAAATAGAGGGATGCAACACGATGACTTCCCAGGAGGTCACCCATACTAGTACACTCTCGCCCAAGCAAGCTTAACAACGGAGTTCTGATGGGATCTAGTGAATTAGTGCTGGTATGATCACATTCGTTAGTATATGCAATGCAATCGTATTTATTTGTTTTTGAAGACTTTATGAACCATTTGTCGTGGGTCCCACCCGCTATGTAAGGATACCCTATATGCTCTTAACGAGCTTTGTACATGAAAAATATTTGACTTCAAAACACTAACCAAGCTTCTTCTTGCTTCTCAAAGCTATGATGGTGTAGCGGAAGTCCGTATAAATCTTTGGCTTTGTGTCATCTAACAAAGAAATACTACTTAGGCTTTTAAGATCTAGTTGCGGTTGTAGTTCTTATACTCAATCATACACATGACATCAAGTCATATTTGACTCCAAAACACTAACCAAGCTTCTTCTTACTTCTCAAAGCCTTGATGGTGTAGACGAAGTCCGTATGAGTCTTTGGCTTTGTATCTTCTAATAAGAAAATACTAATTAGGCTTTTAAGATCCTGTTGCGGTTCTAGTTCTTATAGTCATTTAAACTCATTCATACACATGACATCAAGTAATATTTGACTCCAAAACACTAACCAAGCGTTTTATTGCTTCACAAAGCTGTGATGGTGTAGCCGAAGTCCGTATGAATCTTTGGCTTTGTATCTTTAAACAAGGAAACACAACTAGGCTTCTAAAATCCGGTTGTGGTTCTAGTTCTTATGCTCAATACATATGATATCTACTCATACTTGACTGCATAAAACTAACCAAGCTTTTTCATGCTTCACAAAGCTTTAGTGGTGTAGCCGAAGTCCGTATGAATCTTTGGCTTTGTATCTTCTTACAAGGAAACACCACTTAGGCTTCTAAGATCCGTTTGCGGTTCTAGTTCTTATACTCTATCATACACATGACATCTACTCATATTTGAAACCAAAACACTAACCAAGCTTCTTCTTGCTTCTCAAATCTTTGATGCTGTAGCCGTAGTTCGTATGAGTCTTTGTCTTTGTATCTTCTAATAAGGAAACACTACTTTAGCTTTTGGTATCTGGTTGCGGTTCTAGTGTTTATATTCAATCATACACATGACATCTAGTCATATTTGACTCCAAAACACTAACCAAACTTCATCTTGCTTCTCAAAGCTTTGATCGTGTAGCCAAAGTCCGTATGAGTGTTTGTATTTGTATCTTCTAATCAGGAAACACTACTTTAGCTTTTGGGATCCGATTACGGTTCTAGCTTTTGTGTCATAGCCCAATACCAACATTAATTGAACTAAAACTGAACAAACATTCTAAAATACTTTAATGAATTATAACTCGAGTATCGAAACAACCATAACTGAACAAAAATATTTTAGGTATCCGAAAATACCGGAAGTACCTACGATCTGTATATATTCAAAACATATTATTATTTTTAGACCGAATAACCAAGAATATCGAGAATACCAAAAAGAACCTATAAAAATACTCAAATATTCAAACATATAGAAAAAACTTGTATGATTATATGGTCACTTAGATTCACATTTGATATATCCCGATTTTCACTGCTTTTATCTATGTTTTAGGTATAGGATTTTGAGTCTTTATGTTATTTCTCGAGTCTTTTTTAGTGTCTTTTCATGTATTCAATGCAGTGGGACAACAATGGAGATAAGGAGATATTTTGGAGCAAGAGCTAAAATAAAAGGAAGCTAAGGACGAATTTGGATTCAGGAATCAGCGAGGAGTGTCGATCAACACACTCTTGGTGTCGAACGACACCAGTTTCGGTCCAGCAAAAGTCCTGGACTCTTTCGAGTTTACAGAAGAGGAAATTTGCCCAAGAAGACTTCCCTATTTTCATTATTAGTCCCTGGACGTTTTTAGGGTCTTTCTATTATTTTTAGACCTAGTTTTTATTATCAAGTCTTTCATCTAGTTTCTATCATCAAGTTTTCTACAAACCCTGTTACTGAGAGACATAAGCTATTCGTCGGTTGTTTTCAGAGTTTCATTCAGATCTTAATACAGTGAAGAGATCCTTTCTTTTCCCTTCTCTATTTACTGTGTTTATCTTTCACACCCAAATATGTTGCTTGTTTCATTCAATATGTCTGAGTAATCTGCTTGTTGGGAATAGGGTTTCTCATAAGGGGTTCATATGGTTTAGTAGATTGCCCCATTTGCTAGGATATCTGTAGAATTCTTCATCTTTAATTATGCTTTATACTAGATCTAGAGTAATTAACTAGATCTTGAATCCAGACATTAAGTATGCCCGCTATAGGTATCTATAGTTGGATCTATTATTTGATGAGTCTTGTTTATAGGTGCGTAATAAGAATCGGCCTATCTACTAAGATGAACAATTGAACTCGTTAAGAATGCATATTTAGGTTGATAGTTTCTCGGCTTCTCTGGTTATTATTAGCTATAGATATAGGGAGTTTTGCGGCATGCCCACCGGTTATTCCATAATTAGAGTTTGAGTTTAAGAATCGTTCGATAACAACCTAGCTTTCATTAGATCTACCAACCAATAGTTTCCTGAGAATACCCTGTTCATAGCTTTTTATAAAATCGTTTACAACACAATCAATCTTGCTGTTTTCTTACTTTGTTTTCTTGCTATATCACTCATACCCTGCTAGCTTAATCTCGACATTCAACTCACTGTTTGAAGAAAAGAACTCCGTGAATTCGATCCTAAAATACTGCAATTGATCTCTTATTTGAGAGAGTAGTTCTAGGTAATTTGAACCATATCAACATTTATAAATGAAAATCAAAGATCGCAAAACACTTTTATGTATTTTAGGGTTTAGGGTAAAGATTTGCGAAGTATCTGCTTGAGATTTGCGACGGAGGATATTTTTCTTTGCAAAGTACTTGTACTTTCCTCGCAAAGTTTGAAACGGAGTTGCAACGAGCGCCAGGTTTGTAGCAATTTACTCGCAATAACCTCGCAAATTAGCGAAAATGTCTTCCCACGCAATACTGCCTTGCAAATTGACTATTTTCTTGTAGTATATACTGTTTTTATATATACAAAAACTTTGACTACGGAATTTCAAAATCACCTCATCTTATTTAATACGTAATTACAATCAATTAGTAGTATTTTGGTGGTACAAAATTTTGTACCCTCATCATTTTATGGCGGTAAAGATGTCATAGATGTTTTCTAATATCAATTTTTAAAATGCTTATCATCATGAAAACAAAATAAAAAATGGTTATAATAAACTACGTATGAGTCTTTGGCTTTGTATCTTCTAATAAGGAAATACTACTTAAGCTTTTAAGGTCCAGTTGCAGTTTAAGCTCTTATACTCAATATTATACATCACATCAAGTCATATTCGACTCCAAAACATTAACCAAGCTTCTTCTTTCTTCTCAAAGCTTTGATGGTGTAGCCGAAGTCCGTATGAGTCCTTGTCTTTGATCTTCTTACAAAGATTCAATACTTAGGCTTTTAAGATCCATTGCGATTCTAGTTCTCATACTCACTCATACATATGACATCTAGTTATATTTTACTCCAAAACACTAACCAAGCTTCTTCTTGCTTCTCTAAGCTTTGATGGTGTAGCTAAACTCCTTATGAGTCTTTGGCTTTGTATCTTCTAACAAGGCAACCCTACTTAGGCTTTTATGCTCTAGTTGTGTTTTAAGTTCTTATACTTAATCATACACATGACATCTAGTCATATTTGACTCCAAAATACTAACCAAGCTTCTTCTTGCCTCTCAAAGATATGATGGTGTAGCTAAACTCCGTATGAGTCTTTGGTTTTATATCTTCTAACGAAGAAACACTATTTAGGCTTTTAAGCTCGAGTTGTGGTTTAAGTTCTTATACACAATCATACACATCACATCAAGTCATATTCGACTCCAAAACACTAACAAAACTTCTTCTTGCTTCTCAAATCGTTTTATGGAGTAGACGGAGTCTATGTGCGTCTTTTTCTTTGTTTCTTCGAACAAAGATTCAATACTTAGGCTTTTAAGATCCAGTTGTGGTTCTAGTTGTCATACTCACTCATACAGATGACATCTAGTAATATTTGACTTCAAAAAACTAACCAAGCTTCTTCTTGCTTCTCAAAGCTTTGATGGTGTAGCAAAAGTTCGTATGACGCTTTGGCTTTGTATCTTCTAACAAGGAAACACAATTTAGGCTTTTAAGATCCGGTTGCGGTTTAAGTTCTTATACTCAATCATACACATGACATCTAGTCATATATCACTCTAAAACACTAACCAATCTTCTTCTTGGTTCTCAAAGTTTTGATGGTGTAGCGGAATCTGTATAAGTATTTGTCTTTATATCTTCTAACAAGGATACAATACTTAGGCTTTTAAGATCCGGTTGCGGTTCTAGTTGTTATACTCACTCATAAACATGACATCGAGTCATATTTGACTCCTATTTTTAACCAAGGTTCTTCTTACTTCTCAAAGATTTGATGGTGTAGCTAAACTCCGTATGAGTCTTTGCCTTTGTATCTTCTAACAAGGAAACACTATTTAGGCTTTTAAGCTCCGGTTGCGGTTTAAGTTCTTATACTCAATCATACACATGACATCAATTCATATTCTTCCAAAACACTAACCAAGCTTCTTCTTGATTCTCAAAGCTTTGATGGTGTAGCCGAAGTTCGTATGAGGGTCTTTGTATCTTCTAACAAAGATTCAATACTTAGGCTTTTAAGATTCGATTGCGGTTCTAGTTCTCATACTCACTCATACATATGACATCTAGTTATATTTGACTCCAAAACCCTAACCAAGCTTCTTCTTGCTTCTCAAAGCTTTGATGGTGTAGCAAAAGTCCGTATGACGCTTTGGCTTTGTATCTTCTAACAAGGAAACACAATTTAGGCATTTAAGATCCGGTTGCGGTTTAAGTTCTTATACTCAATCATACACATGACATCTAGTCATATATCACTCCAAAACACTAACCAATCTTCTTCTTGGTTCTCAAAGTTTTGCTGGTGTAGCCGAATCTGTATAAGCATTAGTCTTTATATCTTCTAACAAGGATACAATACTTAGGCTTTTAAGATCCGGTTGCGGTT